GGAACCCAAGGTCGACGATCTTGGTTCGCCGTGAAACGTGAATTTGGGTGGGTTGTGTTTGTGGGAAATAGAGGAGTTGTCCTAAGGTAGTGGTCGAGCTCACTTAGCCGAAAAATGCTTCAAAACGGCGTCTGAAAATTTTCCAACAACCAAGTCACATTAGCGACTAGAAGAGAAAAACTAGGTCATTCACAATTTGGGGTTTTTCCAGAAATAAAATGTTACATCCTAGTCTCAACTCCGTCGTAGCACGATATTGTCTGTTATGGGCCCCGACCACACCCTCACGATTTTGTTTCTAAGAACTCACACGAGAACTTCCCGGTGGGTCACTCATCCTAGGATTGTTCTTGCCCGAACTCGCTTAACTTCGGAGTTCTGATGGAACCAGAAGCCAGTGAGTTCCCAAAAGGCCTTGTGCTCTATGGAGGTAGGCATGTACATATAAGGCACATCACCCCTTCTCTGTTGGTCGATGTGGATGTTACAATCCACCCCCCTTAGGGGCCCAATGTCCTCATCTGCACACTTACACCACACGGCAGAGTGGCTTTGATACCATTCTGTCACATCCCTGTCTCGACTCCGCAGTAGCACGATATTGTCCGCTTTGGGCCCCGACCACGCCCTCACGGTTTTGTTTCTGGGAACTCACATGAGAACTTCCCAATGGGTCACCCATCTTAGGATTGCTCTCGCCCGAACTCGCTTAACTTCAGAGTTGCGATGAAACCCGAAGCCAGTGAGTTCCCAAAAGGCATTGTGATATATGAAGGTGGGCATGTACATATAAGGCACATCACCCACTCTATGTTGGTCGATATGGGATGTTACATAGAAAGGGTACTCCAGCCTTGCTGGAGCCTAGCTTAAATAGAAATGGCAAAAGACAAAATTGCCCCTTAATTTACATGCTTATTTTCTCCTTCGTTACAAATCTAATTCACGAACGGTTTTTGCCTACGAGCTCATGAGATCAAACTCTATCTGAAAATACTAAGAGTGACCTCAAGAGGTCTACGAATTTTTAATGACTAATTCTGGAAATTAAACTTTGTAACTAAGTAATTAAAACTCTGAAGTTGACTAAAATAAAATAATTTCACATAATACACAATACGTAAAGTTAAACAATGAAATCCGAGGACGGGATTTCACATTCTTCCCCCCATATAAAAACTTCGTCCTCGAAATTTCAGTACCAATTACACATTCCCAAAGGCCTTCCTCCATCTAAGGTAGAGGTTCAAGAACCTAAACCAAAACTTTTATACCACTAAAGTTGTCATGCACCCGAGATACGTCCAGGATCAACACATGATGTCATCAGGTACATATTCACTTATCATGCCTCGCCTCTGAGACATAAACAAAACACAAATCAATGGTTCAACAATGTAGTAACTTTTCTTTTATATCTAGTTGCATTTAACCTCTATGTTAGGCTATCTATGTACCCTAAGACGAGGTCAAGTCATTCGTAGTTCACATTTCTGTTAAGCTTTGCATATTTCTCAAGGAATTAACTGGCAAGAAACACAGAATTTCAAACATCTCCCACATACGCAATGCACCCATATGTTATTTCATCATTCACATATATCACAATGTTTTCCATCAACCAAAACAACAATCAAGGACAAATAACATTTAAATGAATCAAAGATGCATAATATCAACCTTTAACCACATTGATCAATCAATCCGATTCAACAACAACAATAAAAATCATTTATAAACTATACTTTATAAAATTATAAATAAACTCACTGAAAATCCCGAAAGAGTCACCTAGACATCTATCGGCCTTTCTAACTTAAACCACAAAGGTTCTCAAATCTCAATTAGGTCAACCCCAAGGCCTTTCAAAATCAGGAAAGCTATGAGAGCTCCGATTACGCTTGAAAAAGAAGACATTTATGGTGTTCTACAACCACATGATGACCCCCTGGTGATTAAACCACCAAGAAGCTAACCATGGCAAATAACTGACTCTACACAGTTATACTTACACACACACACACACACACTTGTATTTGGGAACATAAATGCAACATAGGAAAATGTATAAATTATAAAGTGCTTCAATTGAATAAATATATAAAATGAAATATGTATTTAGAGTTATTTTCAAAGAAAAAAAAAGGTCCAGAGTTTTTATTTTACAAAAAAAATTATCTTCAACCCCTTTTACCTAAAAAAAAAACCAAAATAAAAAAATAGTCCGGCCTCCGCCTAGTGCCTAAGCCGTTTTTTTTAACAATGCTTACGAGTTATACATGAGGTTTATTTACAAAGATCTCATCCTGACACAACATGAGAAATCTTAAAGCATAAAATACAACAACAACAAATAAAAAAAATAAAAAAATAAAAAAATAAAAAACTCTTGGCATAAAAATAACCTAAATTGATAAATAAACTCTCCTTGTTCAGCTGGATCAGTCACACTTGTATCTTTTTGTGGGCACTGTGTAAGCTTTTTTGGTGGCCGGATCAGTTGGTCTTATTCCATAGCACGAAACATAGAAAGGAGAGCTAAACCACTACTCACCACCATGGCTGGTGTTTAAGCTAATAATACTACAAAATACATGGGAATCGCATTAAAAACTAAAACATATGTACATACAGAGATCCTCACACAAAAAACGAGAGATCTTCCGGCCCTTTCATTCCTCAATCTTCTTCTACCTTTACTTAGGTTATTGATAAATCAATGTTTTTACTTCCCCCAAAAAATAGTTTTATAGCTAACAAGTAAATTCAAAGAACGAATAAGTTAACAATTTACCAATTAATCATTTGAATTGATATTTAAAAAAAACTTGTAAATATAATAACGATAATGGATAATTTCATGACGTTCGCTAATAATAATTTACTTATTATAACAAGATGCTCATGGTGTAATAATCAATGTTGACAGTGTAATAAACTACATCATTTTATAACCTCACAATTATTATGTATTGGACTATAAACATCGACGATTATAATGTAATTTTGTTAAAACAAAAGATTCCAATAATCTTTTTCTTAAAGGAGATCCTAGAATTTCTCATAAAAATATATGCCATGGGGTTTGTATGATATGGGAGGTAGGGACCCAAACAATGCTTATACAGGTATAGATAATCCAAAACTTCCGACTATTTATTCTTTAGCTTATTCTTTCCCCAGTCAAAAAGTTTCTTCTATCTTTCTTGGCCTAAAAAGACAGAAAAGGAAAGCCACCAAATATTTGAACACAAGCACTCTGCATTGCTGCAAAAGGAGCGTTTGAATGAGATGAGGAATATCTACGATTACTTAGTATACACCCTAACTCGGTCTCTCTCTATCTCTCTCCCCTCCCAAACACTAGTAACGGTTAACTTGGTTTAAAGAAAGAAAGAAAGAAGGAAAGAAAAGAAAAGAAAAGGAAAAGCCATGTCCATGTAACTGTAGAAGTACTAGTTGTTAATCTGTGTATGGACGCCATGAGATTTGTGTCAAAGTGAAAGCTTAAATTAGGGTTTTGTGATCTTTTCTCTTCTTTCACTATCAACTGCTTTGATATATATGTTCTGGGAACACAAATGCATTCAGTGAATTGGTAATATTTAATTAAATTTTTTCTTGTTCTAGCTCTTCTTTTGCTTAAAGTAAAGCACTCTCTCATAAAGCCATATTAAAAGTAAAATATGGCATTATCTACTCAAAAGGGCCGCTCATTTTATGCTTTTGAGCTTCAAATAAGAGCATCTTTGCCCTATACTTGGCCATGTGGGAGAAAGCAATATCCAAGTGAAGAGAGCAGCAAACCAGGAGAGAGAGAGAGAGAGAGAGAGAGAGAGAGAGAGAGAGAGAGTATATAGCAATATATGGAGGGAGGCTTTGGACGGCCCGTCGACTTTAAAGGTAGGGAAATGAGAAAAAGTTGCTCAAATTTTGACATGACAGCCTTGTTAGTGTAAAGGCGATGGAATTACGTACCACACACTCCTTTTCCCGAAAGTTTCCATTACTTTTTCGCTATTGGTATCTAAATTGCTCCAATTTATTAATTAAACTAGTTAAATCTTTCGTTATTTACACTTACAAGGCGGCATCAAATTCACCATGAATCATGAGGTGATATAACTAGATATTAGACATATGCCTACCTGCCAGCTTTATATACAGTGAATATATTGTCTCTACAATGGTGGTATACCTATTCCGTTTTGCTACAATTAATTAGGATCATGTGCACTTTGCAGCTGCAAGCTATATGATGAACACTCGTGCTTCAACTTGCAGATGGTTGTGCTGTACGTACTCGGCTGCAGGTTGCTGATCAGTTTTTTTACTGTGAAAGAACAAGGACCGCACAGACGTACAAGCATCAAAGCACGAGCTTTTGGTGCACTAATGTGCTTCGGATAAGTGGTGTCCAATTGAGTTCTGATCACTAAAAGCACGGCTTTTCCTGCATTTGATTGCAGCAATCATGTACATTTGGATTTATGCTAAGGTATTCTGATTAGCTAGGGCTGCATTCAACTAGAGCAAGTTACTTTGCCAAAGCCCTTTCATTTCACCATAAAGTGAAAAGTTAACCCAGTTAACCAGCTCGTGGTTTAGTAGTACTAATTCTCGTCCCAATTTTATAAAATTTCTCAAGCTCAAAACGATGTTTCTACTCTAAACTACTATTAGAGGAGGGGAAGGGTTTGAACCTAAGATGTAGTGGGTTTAAGATGAAGGCTCGAATCATTAAGTATCAATTAGAAAAGATCACCAAACAAATTGTTTAAGAATCAATTAGAAAATTTGTGTTTAGAATGACCATGAAAAAACCCAGAAAGAAAGTTAACAACCGTAGAAGAACGAAGATAATCAGCGGTGTCTGATAGCCTCTTGCCTACAAGATTAATTTCTTAATCATCCCAGCTGATGAGGATAGCAGAATGGATCGAAACATAAAGCGCCTTTGGTTATTTGAAAGACATTTTAGCTCTTAAGTGCTCTCGTACTAAAGCTAGAAAATCCAAACCTTATTAACATTATTGTTGAGAAAGTCAATACAACGAAGCCCTTAATTGCTAACACATTTGGTGATCAGTACTGATCTACGATTATAAACAACTACTGTGAGCACAACCCTTTTATGTGACAGTAACAAAATTTGAAAGATAAAGGAGAGAAGAAAGACACAGAACTCAACTGAGGTTGTTGGCAAGCTAACTTACAACGCCGCAAATAAAAGCTTCACTCATCTTCGCTCTCTGATAAATTTCCGAGACAACTATTCTGCAGGAGAGGAGCAAGTACACTCTCGACAGAGGATCTTTGCTTCCTTGTTTCCTCAAGTATTGACAATCGAGCAGCTTCGCAAGCTTTGGCATTTGGAAAACCAAGTGTCCATCTCCCATCAGCCACACGATCGGACTTCCCCAAACGTTGGCCTCTAACTTTACTTTTGTGGAGTTTTGGTTCAAACTCTCTTATCTGAAGATGCAACCATGTCGGGTGATCCTCGTCTATTTTTGGCTGTTTCAAGTGAGAAACCATATTAACTATGTAGAAAAATAATGACGAGAAAAAAGAAAGAAGATCTACAAAAATCAAAAGAATTTCAAGCTCCCCTGACACTACGTTGTCAATTTTACTATCACTTCTTTTTCCGTATTTCACCCCAATTTTGCGACTGTCAGCTTCTTCGTATTACTACATTGTCTTTTGTTCAATATGAAACTCCAAAAACTCATTTCCTATAAGATAGACAAGGCACATTTGTAGAACTCTATTTCAAGCCTGTTGTCATAAACAAGAATTTTTCAATAAGCAATTGGACTCTAATCTAGCATAGCGCAAGACCACCAAGAAAACCGGCCATAACCATAAGCCTAATTGACACAATTGATCAATGTGAGTATCATAACTAAATCAGTTTAATTGACCTCTCACACTAAAATCTAGAATTTTAGAGTTGACTTCATGCTGATACACGAAACTAGCCAGGACTAGAAGCAAAGCATATATCTATATTTTTAACTTACAATTAAACCAGCCAATGGTGCAATAGCAAGTACAATTCCTCGTTGACTGCAGAAAGGATGCTTCTCTGCAAGAATCACTTTTCCAGATGTTTTCTTTGCCACAGGTATCAGGTAGATATCCCTGATTCCAGCGTTGGAAAATGAAATTCTACATGGAATTCCAGATCCTGCAGAAAGTTGTAGGAAGTAAGAATTCAAAACACACACACACACACATTGAGAGAGAGAGAGAGAGAGAGAGAGAGAGAGAGAGAGAGATACTGGAAATATTCAACTTTTAATGGATAATACCCACCTAAAGCAACCTCCGACCCAAAGCTTGCAGACACACCATTTGAAGCATGCATATTACTAGAATCAGCAATTGCACTGCTGTCCAGCCAAGGCTCTTCAAGCAATTCTCCTTTGGAAATTGTTGATTTAAGTTGAAGATGGAGAATAAAAACCTAAAAGTAAACCAAGGGAACCTTCAACGAAATATCAACATAAAAACTAGAAGTGGTCAATCAAGGAAGACCAGCCGAGAGAGAGAAAGAGAGACTACTAGTACAACATTAGAAGAAATGTTAAAAACTGATACTAATGATGGGATTTACCTTCACATTGTCAACCATCCTCTGAAAAGCAAAGTATGAAGTTGCATCACCTGCAATATGCACATAAATTTATTTCTCTCTAAGCTAAACCCTTTCTGAAGCTTTCTGACAAGAGAAGTACAATCCATAAAGAAATTTTTTAAATAAAACAGAGAAAAGATGTACCATCAGTTGTTTGTTGGCTAACATCAAGCTCGAGAACAAAAAAAGGATCTTTACATTGGGATGCTTCCAGGAGAGCTGTATGTTTGAAAATAGATAAACTGAATTTAGCAAGTAGTTCCATATTCCATATCAAATAAGTAAAGTAATTTTTTTTTCCTATGTTAGAAACCAACTCGCATCCTAACAACTGAAACTATTGTGAACATTGAGAAACCACTAAAACTTCACATGATATGAGAGTGACAGATCCTAAGTTCAAATCCGGCTATTTCAACCTCTAAACTTTAATGATCTCCAGACAGAGATTTTTTTAGAGTATAAAACGATTTTTATCCTAAACTTAACAGTTTAAGCTTTTGTCAATAGTATTGAAACAATAAAAAAATATGATGGAAATATAACAAGATCTTGAGTGCAAACCCGTGCAACTGCAAGTTCACTGATTCTATTGGACTCCATGTAGGTTTCAGCAGGGGGAGATGGTATAATATGAAATAATGTTGGTCTACATCCTAACAGCTTAATCTTTTGGGAACAATGGAACTAAACTACCATCATCCCAAGAAGAAACCATATCCCCCCTCCCCCAACCTACCTGCTTTACAGTTTGCCCATTCATTTCTGAAAGCCTCTGGGATATGATCAAACCAGCATCCATCAAGTTCTTTCTGAAGACATTCACGGGACTGCTGATATGAGGTCTGTCCACACAAACTAGAAAATATAAAACTTTAGAAAGTATGAGACACATTTACACTACACCACATAATATACTACTAGATCATACGAAATAGTAACTGTGCACTTCAGAGCTTGCTTTTTACTCTTAACTCAGAAAGGTCAGACAGTGTTCTTCAAACTCCATTTACATTTATTAGCTACATAATGATTTTAATTGGCAATCATCATTATATGTCTTCTTACAGTCCTATACAGCAATTTTGAATTTTAAACTAACAGACCTATCTATCTGTAACCACAATTTTAACATCTATCAACTTTTTTCTTTGAAACCTATATATAGAATCCCACAGTTCCCACCATACAGTGTTCTACCAAAGCTAGGCCCTGGAAGGTTTGATGTGGTACTATTCCTTCTTTAGAAAGCTCAACCAATTACCAATCGTTTCCAGTCTTCCCAAGAAAATACGAATAATTATCCATTTCATTTTGGTATGATTTCTGATGTGAGTGTAGAATAATATACAAGTGCTTCTACCAAATCAGTTGAATCTTTACATTGAATAGCTGGAAATTATGATCGCTAAGCCCTTTTCCTTGACAAATCAAAAGCTTCCGCAAGAACCACCCTGTATGCCATTGTATTAGTATAGAGTAAGGTGGTTGACTTGCTAAAACCTTCAATAATGCATTTAAAATCTGTAAAATGAAAATTCAGTTCATCACGACACTGAAAGCCACAAGGGTCAAATTTTAAATAGTCAAACTGCTGACCTAAAATGACCAATAAGTGAAGATATATATTTAAATAAACAATAATTATCAAAAAGTCACTACCACATCCATATGTTTCCATAGGAGATTTCCAATACTACCATCCACATCCTGTCAAGATATGAAATGGAAATTTGTCAATATATTTCGAAAGTGTTTCAAAACGGTGGAATAAAGTCAAATGAATCTTCAAATTGCACATACAAAACTAGCAAATGCAGAACATTCAACAAAAATGCCAAGAAATGTATGCATTATATGGAGAAATGGTTGTCAACACAGAAGTTTCAAAAATTGAAAATGAAATTCAATGTAAAGGTCTTTGAATGCAACAGAAAATACATAATACGCAGAATAAGCATAAATCACCATCATGCATAAAACTAATATACAGTAACTTTGTTTTATTAGTCAGTAAACTCAGTACTCACTTATTACCAGCTGGAAATTACAGAATATATAAAGCGCACATTGAAAAATTGAAGTTATTAACTCACAATCATATATTGCATTCCACTTAATCCAGTCATTTGAGCCGGCAAAGGATGAAGATCTGCATCAATGAAAAGACAAATTAAAGATATGAACAAAGTCAGTTCCAAAACGGCTATCAGACCGATGCGTTGAAGTTATGTCTTCTGTACAACAGCAGATTCTAAATTAGTACCTTTCGTTTCTGCTAAAATAAACAACAAGAATAGTGATGCTAGCAATAGACTACGATTCTCGGAGAAAATATGTGCTAGTATTCCACTCCTGCATCAGGAAAAAATTTCATAAACATCAAAATGTATGTAATAATTATCAATTGTCATCACTCTTTGATATAAAAGAACATTAATTGACCTGTTAACTAACTTAGTGAAATGTGAACAGATTGATTTTTTAGTCTTAGTATTCGAGTACCTCTGCCCAAAATAATGAGAAAGAAACTACGTTTCTCTCATTTCTTTACTCTCTCTTTCTGGAGAGGAGGTTATAAGAACTAAAACAGAAAAGTAACAACCTTTTGATAGAGACAGTATCAGTAAGGAGGCTATTATTTTCTGCTCCTTCAGTCTCATGACTAGAAGATACTATTCCCATTTCACTCAATATAGATTTAGCATGACCATCGCTCTCAGTTGAGTCCCCTTGAACAGCATCTCTCACACTTGAGGCCATATGAGGATATAAAATAACTTCGGCGACAGAGTTGAACATGCCTTTTCCACCAATGACTTGAAGAAGACAAGAAATAGTATAGAAAGACGTAACTGCAGACAGATTTGAGCCCTGAATCATAAATGAAATGCTGAATGAATACAGCATATAAAAAAGATATATCATTGTGAATAGTACTATGTAGCTTGTACAGTACAACAAATGCAGCTTAACATTGAATCAATTAGCAATGCTTGACCATTGTTTTTTGTGATTACTTTTTTACATTTGTTAAGTGGTTTCAAAAAGTGGTGTGTGCATGAGACGAAAAAGGATGTGCAGAAATTATTTCCCAAAATGTAATGTGGACATACGCAATTCTAGGTTTTCCAGTAGGAACTATCTACCAACAAAAAGTATTTCTCATGCTGATAAGAAAGCGAATGAAGCAGATACAAGGAAGAACATCTTACGTTACTCTGCCCCATCTGCAGTAATGGGAGTAATATGGGAACGATTAATATTCTAAGAAGATTTTCAGTAACTGCTCTACTCAAACGAGACTCGCCAATACCAAGTATGTCCTTCAAGTAATACAGATCATCGACTATCTTATCAGTTTCCAAAAGTATTTCTTCTTTCTTTTGACGTGTACGCATCCTGCATCAATAATTAACCATTCAGCCTTCCAGATGCATAGTACCTAAATCTCATTTTACCAAATTCAAGTACACATACTCTGCATCGTGGACAAGGGCATCTAGATGACAGAACTTCTTGCTTAAGCTTGAAACCATATCTGAGAAATACTTTGAGACTGGAGGAGTTGTTATATATTGATAAACCATATTATCACTAACTGCACGACGAAAAAAATACTGTTTCAAAATACGGAAAATGTTTCCGTTAGCAGATTAGAAAAGGAAGAAAAAAGAAAGATAATAGCAGCATACCATTATATATACTGAGAGTTAATGCACAAATAGCTGTCTGAATCATCTTATCCCCATGGTGGGCAAATTTGAGAGCCTCATCATACAGGGGAAATGACACTACAGCATCCTGCGATTGGAGGGAGACATGGACATGAAAAAATTAATTAGGGGCCATGCATCTAGGCATGCACACTTAAGCTAAATAAATGCAGTGATAACGTAGTGACCATCCTTTAATTATTGATGACGGTATGAAACAGTGACTGTCATTTCTTGTAACTCATTATTGCTTCTCCCCTTATAAAAACAACATAAATTATAAATAAATAAACTAAAAATTTTAAAATAGATTACGCAAGCCTAGATGATGATGAAAAGAACCGATAAGATGCCTCAAAAAGAGAAAAGGCGTTACAGTTCTCCAGGGTCCACACAAGACAATCAGAAATGATAACAAGGACTGGCCTAAGCCTTGATGGCCCTGCCAGAAACCACTTGGAGAACATAGAACACAAGAAGCCATCTGCATGCTCTAGTCTAACAGGCTCAACCCTGAGGCCAAAACTTTTTTGCTTCTTAAATAGTAGGAACCCACTCAAAGTGTACTTTAAACAATGTTTTCACATCCATTACCAATGGTCCGCAGGATACAAATACGATTTTGACTGCCACTGCAGACAGAACTGCATCTATCAAGTAAATCATGACTTGTACCAAAAATTTACACAATAAACTTTAACTTACCCCGTGAACCTTCAGAAGAAGGCAAAGTGTATCTTTGTTTAATTTATTGCCCACTGCTCTGAGTAGAGAGAAACGGGGGAATCAGGAAAATAATAAACTTCACAAGTAATGACAAAATCAATCTAAAACTGCATCACAACTGCTTTAGCAAATAAGAGTTTTATATATATATATATGTGTGTGTGTGTGTGTGTGTGTGTGTGTGTGTGTATGCATGTATTGAACGTGAATGTAGAGAGAGAGAGAGAGAGAGAGAGAGACCTCAAAAAGGAAACATAATATAACGCTAGATCTCCTCCAAATTCAAACTTGTGTCCTATAATATTGTTGATGTAGTCATTGCTAAAACAATAATCTGCATCAAAAAACCATCAACAGATCACCAATAAGTAGAAGCAATAAGCTTAACAATGGCACAATTAATGAAAAATAAAAATAGAAATTCAGGAGAAGGCATGTTTGGAACCGATTTCCATCATGGTTGCAGCTACCAAATCTTTGGTAACCTAAAAATTGGAGGAGTAATCTTAGATATTGATTAATTGCATTTAGAATCTTACAAATTGAAAGGTCACTATTCATATTTTGAATCATTATACTCAGATACTGAAGCAACGGTGCCTCAATTCTTGAATTTCTACTGATCCTTAGCACACGAACAAAGTCTGATAAAACTTGGTATTCCATAAAGTATCTGCATATAAGTTAAAAGTAACAATTAAAATATGAACAAGAAAATAAAAGGCGTACCAATATAGAAGCTTTACCATGAACAACAGTGCATACTCGAAAATCAATGGGTCTTGTCTATCGCCATAAGTAACTAGCTCCACTATGGACTGTAATAAATCTATGACTAGTTCCTGGTAGAGAGTCACATGAGGGGAAGGTGAGGCATATTAAACTGAATGAAACAAGAGGAAAGTCTAACAAGTTACCCTGTTATGCCCGTCCACAACTTTGATCTTCCGCAGTTCATTGATTACGTACCTATTTCGATAACAGCATAAAAAAAAGTATTAGTAAAAATACTTGATGATGATTATGACGATGAGGATGCCTACGAAACAATGAGATACACTCTTAGGACAAAACTTCAGTGTGCTACTAAATAGTAGATGCACTGCAGACATTGTTACCCATTACCTCCACTTTCGAGAAATAAGGTTTTCAAATTGGCGACCGAACAAGTAACTAAAATTCACCTACCACTCTTTAAGCCCTCAATCTATAAATTGACACAATGTAGGCATTACCTCCACATTCCCAAAAATCGAGTTCTGAATCCGGTTACAGGACAAGTATCTAAATTAAAATTCACCCAACACTCTCTAGTCTCTATACCTTCAAATGTAAATCAAACTACAACCATATCCATAATTCGCTTCCCATATACTTTCAGGGAAGTTGAATTAAAATACCCAAAATCGACTATTTCAGTTGCTCACAGTTGTTTAAAATAAATGAGGAACTAGTCTAACGAGTAGTGTAGAACCCTAATTTACGAAATTGGGAGTGAATGTAGAAGTTGAAAAATTGGAGAGAGAAAAACGGGGAACTTACTTGAAGTACTGGAGCGAGAAGCGGTCGATGGAGCGCCAGAAAGAGCGCCACATGGTGGCGAAGACGGCGGCGACAAGGCTGACTGACCTGAGCGATCAAATTGAAGACGGCTTGGTACGAAGGGAAGGGAAGGGAAGGGAAGTTCTTTCTCGTTGGCTGTTTGGTTGGAAGGGAAGTTCTTCATATTCCTCTCCCTATGCGTTTTCTACTTTTTGCTTTACTTGTTCTCAATGCAACGCGCCAAATTATGTGGACTCACTTTTGAGTACAGCGGTTACGTGGCGTTCGGTCTTATAATGTATTTATAAAATTATAAATTTTTTGGCACATTTACGATGAACTCGATTAATGTAAATTGTTTTCCAAATTGAGTTCTCTAGTTGGTTTCGTAATCGTTTCGGTCTTATAATGTATTTATAAAATTATAAATTTTTTGGCACATTTACGATGAACTCGATTAATGTAAATTGTGTTCCAAATTGAGTTCTCTAGTTGGTTTGGTTTAGATTTCGAATTCCATTATAGCACAGCCTAAAAACATAAGGGTTCAAATTGGTTCATTTTAGGTCTCAAATTAATAGCATAAACAAACTGACTAAGTTCATTTTATAGATCTTACACGTATCAAAGTAATTTTATCCCGTAAATTGAATAGTAGTTAAGATACTTTTTAGCATTATATTTAGAGATAGATTACATCAAATTCAAACATTCCTACGGATTTTGGTTATTGGTGTTACACGATTGAACTTGATATATAACCAAACTATAAATAGGCGATTTAATTCGGTTTAGGAAATTTCAAAGTTCAAATAAGTGGTTGACGTGAGGTCAATATCCGTTATACATTGGGACCAAGGTGGTACTAGGACCACTCAAAGGCAAGAAAACATGCATGTGAAGGTCCTCAGGGACCCTCCTAATAGTTGATACGGATTCTTTTGTGTTCATCAAGTGTTTGATATAATATTTATTAGGTGTATCTCGGCATCACTCTATTAAGTTGGCTCGTGGTTAGCCATATTGGGACAACATAAAAAAATTGAATAAAATAAGTTCATATCAAACGCTTAGTGGGCCCAGAAAAAAAAAAAAAAAAAAAAAAACTCGTACAAATTTTCTGAACCAAATTCAAATCACAAACATACAACTACAAAAGAGAGCACTTTGAGGAAGCTTTTCATATTTGCAAGAAAAGGAAGAAAAAAAATACATGAGGCCATTTGATTCGATTGTGTTGTCCAACCTTCCTCCAAAACCATCGAGGATGTTAGTGGTGGATCGTGTCCGAAAACGATCAGCTAGCTTTGAGTCTGTTTTTCTCGTATCCATTTAACAAAGTCGTCAACGATCAAAGGCCATGCAAGTTCAAGCTTGTATTTGCTAGGATCTTGAAAACTTATCGAATCGTAGAACCAGTAAAAGGACATCCACGGATCCATGGTTAAGACTTTGTAATCACTCTGAATCTTCAGATACTGAGTAAATAACTCAACCTGCGTTGGATATTGACATCCCAAAACAGTATTTAACAACTCGCATATCATGTCTATATCTATGCCTTTCTGTTCCTCCTCCGTGAAACAATATTTGAACGCATACAAACAGAAATCCATGAAGTCTGATAGTTCCCCTCTGACATCTTTATCTAGCTCTGCAAGTGCCTTGTTTAAGTTATCTACTTTGTTTACCCTTAGGGTTTTAAACCCTTCTCGCCATTCTTCTAGGGTTCAAGTATCCCTGCCTTGTTTAATTCATCTTCCATGCAAGCATCAAGTATGATCAACTTCCATTTCTGAACAACGACGTTCGATCCGCTCTGGCTCGATCCATCTGGCCACCTTAATCGATTTTCTGGAATTGTACATTGGTTGTTCATGGCCATCAGAAAGGTTCCGAGCCTGGCCGGGATCCCAATGGGCTTTGTTTTATCCTGACCCTTTCATTTGGGAGAGTCTTGGACTTGGATCTTAACACTTAGCTTGGCTCGTGAATTGGAAGGACCCATTGAGTGCATGCTTTCAGTCTCACCTAAAAAAAAGTTTTGTTCTTTTCTTTTGAGGAGAATGTCTGGATAAGGGATTTTTTAAGTATAAAGAGATTTAGGTTAAATTAAGAAGAAATATGCATTACAAGATATTAGATAGAGAGATTGAAAATGTATTAGTGAACATCAAAAAGCCAATAAACGAAGGAATAAAATGACTGTTTTTATAAGATTTAAAAACAAAAAACAAAAATACGAGGGGCAAATGACTCATATCACATAGTTATTTATAAATCTCTCTCGATGCTTTGCATTGATTGATTCAAATCTCATTAATCTATTGTTATGTGTTTCTTAATAATGTAGCTTACATGTTACTTGGAAATCACTCGTCCAAATTAGACCATAAAAGGCCAATTATTGTGGTTCGAAGGGGGTTGTCTCTAGCTATGGTCAGATTTGTTATGTCCCTATTTTTGTCAGTGGAAAATCTATTTCCTCAATTTATCTATTTATTACAGAGCTAACTAACTAAAATCTTTCGGCTACAGTCAAGAGTACGTCGAAGCATGAATTGACTTAGCAACGTGCACCTTGGTTAACATGCACTAGTGAGTGATTTCCTCCGTCAATAACACCGCTATCATGCACGAAGTGAAGCTTGATAGGAACCCGAGCTAACATCACATAATTTTCGAGAAAAATTAGGCGTTGCACTAATACGAGTTCAACTACAATAGAGGGCATATAAGAATTGGAAAATGTGATGTCGCCATAACATTAAAGTGTTATTTCCTTTAATTAAGAGAGCATAAATCAGGCCTAATTAGAATGGGCATTTCCTTCTGTTAGATTACGCCAAATATCCATGAAGAGCATAAAACTTACTCAATCACCTTGATTAAGTAAAGATAAGATGGTCAACGTTCGCCATCATTTTCATGATTTCCCTCACGGCATTTAGGTTTACATAAGCCTTGCTAATTTTCTAGCTTTTGACTTTCTTCATCAATCCATTCATTGTCAGCTTGTATGAGAAGTTATCAACCAATATATATAAATGAAACGCGAAAACTGTAGTTACTCTACAATGTTATGGTGCACGGCATGCATCGAACAATCGAGGGCCAAGATCTTTTTTATTCTATCTGGTCAAAAAGTCTAGGCAAAAATGTAAAATTATGTCGGGCATGCAGTTCCATCCCAAGTAGAAAAAATTATTTAATATAATACTACAACTTTGCCGTGTGACGTTACTAATTCACTCATGTTGTATATAGGAGTGAAAAATGAGTTTACAACTTCTACTAACATACAGTAGTTAATTTCTCACCACGCTGAAAACTGAAGCTACCAATATGGGAAAATTAACTTGTAAGTTTGTATATATAACTTCTATGATATTTCCGTGAGTTTTACCTTATTTGTAGCTCCAACTTATCTAAACAGTCACTGAAACTTGCAGCATCGGGGTCCCAATATATCACGCGACAAAATTGTAAGGAACTGTATATGCCTAGCTAGTTTGTTCTCTTGTACATCACGAGCCGGTTAGAAGTAAACTTTTTTGTCCAAGAACTAACTTTCTGGGAGATTCTGTGCCGTTGACAAGCGTGTAACTGAGAGTATTATTGCACATTAGGAAGGTATTGTACATAGAATATAATGTATGTGGTAGTAAATTTCCGTCGTTTTTAGTTTAGGGCTTAAGTGTGTAACAAAAAAAACTTACCAGAAATTAGTGGAGATGAGATATTTATAGGTATGTGGCAAGGGTTTTGCCCTACACAAGTCAGCATCCCATTAGCCAAGGTGTGTCATCCGTAGGATGGATGAAAAAAGAATAATCAAAAGCTATTAATTATTAGATAATATCTTGGGATATTCTTGTAAGTATCCTTAATTAGATATGACAAGGATTTTTTACTTGTTTGGGTTGATTTTCAATTAGAAAAATATTAAAGATATGATTAATTCTATTTTTAATAGACTTTTCCTCCTTACCATGAGTAGGCAAGCTTGGTTGTGTCGTAGAACCTCCAGGGATGTTTGGATTGCGAGTGAATATTTGAGGGCACTGGATTTAACGAGGGCATCTTGTCTTCTTCAAGAAAATGATCTATTGGTTGTCTCTAAAATTTTTGAAATTATTTTTTACTCCACAATATATATTGTACGTATGATCGTGTCTGTGGATGTAAATTTCTTCCTCCTTATTCTTGAACAAAATTGCACCTACAAAACAAATAACATCTTAGGCCAAGGCCAAGAGCCTCACACGCTGACGATAAATGAGGAGGGCTTTGGCCGAAGAACCTCTGATGCCCTCAAAATTCTAACTTTTGCATCGGAAGTTCTTTGGCCAAAGCCCCCCCTCCATTCATTGTGGGCGCGTGAGGCTCTTGGCCTTGACTTAAGGTGTTATTTATTTTGTAGGTGCAATTTTGTCCAAAAATAAGGAGAAAGAAATTTACATCCATAGTGACTTTGATTACTTATTACATTAGTTTTGAGTTAAATGTTTTCATTTTACATGCTACATTCTTCAATGCATGCGTGAATCGATCAACCGACATAAAACGTAAAACATAATCCAATTTAAAATCAAAGTGGTTTGGTTATGGAGGACATCATATTATGTATAGTTTGACTAATGCGACAAGAAAAGACTTAATATCAAACCTTCCTTTCATGACATGAAAAAAGTGAACATACCATATACCACTAGGCAGGAATAAAGCAGCCCACAGAACACTTTCTTTGAAAAATAATGGCCGGTGAGTAGAGATTCCAAAAGAAAACCGAAGGCCCTTTGGTGACTCATTTCTTTTATTCTTATCGAATCACATGCATCTCTTTCAATCTTCAAATATCTCACTTATCCTCCACGACAAGAAGTTGAAGAAACCTAATTTTTCTATCCTTACGGGACTTGGTTTTTTATTTTGGTTATAAATAGACGAAATGAGAGAAAAAGTTTGTCAAAGATTGAAGTGGAACATGATCAATGTATCATTTTATTTATTTTCTTTACTTATGTCAGACAAGGAAAGTGAAAATATAAGAAGAGAGGAGCGGGAAACTCGTATTATTACATTCTGCTTTTATCTTTGTTGTTGCAGTGGTATGATAACTCTATTTATAGAGATTTTCACCCGACATCTCTTTTAAATGCATGTAGAAAATTTACACACCAAAATAGTAAAAACCAAACTTCTACTATTTAAGCCATGCATTT